ATAGTGACCCTGTATAAGGTTTCTGAGGAGCAGCTAGTGAGCTTGAACCTCCAACCTTCAGGTTCAACTGACCTTGCAGTCCAGTGCATTAACACACAGTGCCACATATGTGTATGTTGTTGTTGTTTAAGTACAGTGGAATGGGTTCACCAATTGGCTGGCACTAGATTTAGAAGCCAATGTTACTGCAGGGACTCATCCAAGGAAAAAGGACTGCTTGCAAGGGATGGGGTCAGAGAAGATTTCTAGGAGGAGGCATCTTCTAAATTGGGTTTTGAAGAAGGAGTAGGAATTTGTGTGATAGAGAAAAAGCCAATGAACCAGCATTAGCATAGGCTAGATGGAATGTAGCCTGTCCTAGCACAGTGAGCATTGTGGGCAGTTGGGAGAAGTGATGCGGACAGAGGACAGGCATTAGTGGCCAGGACAAACAGGGCTTTGGAAAGAAGACACTGAGAGGAAGTAAAAGTGAAAAGTATAAGCTTGAGACTTTAGGGCCAAGGCTGGGGCTACAGAGTCAGATTAGCAGATTTGGCATTTGGGACAGGAAGGAAACTGCTGGACATGGCCAGGCTTTCCTGGATTGTTAAGTCCAAGCCTGATCCAGTCCTTTCCTCTGGTTGAGGAGAGGAAGGAAACAGGGCTACTCACTCTTCCTCTCTGGAAAATGGGATAACAACAGTATCCAGATCATAGGATGAAATGCGAGGGTGTCCCTGAGAGTGGTTGGCACAAAGAAGTCAAAACTGCTACTATATGAACAATACTATCCTGGCATGTACCAGAGGCAAGGCCCTGGCAGAGTGAACTTTCAACTGAGATCTTGTTACTTCCTTGCTTCTTAACTTTCCATGGTTCCCTACTGCCCTATGGATAAAGCCTAAATTCTCTATGTTGACCTATAAGGCCTTGCAGGGTCAGACCTCATGATCTTCTTCATCCTTTGGTGAAGCGTCTTACTGCACTCATCACCCCTTTCTGTACACACATTATTATCTTCTGGCCACAATGAACTGCTGTTAGTTCCTCCAAAGCTACTCTGCTGTTCCCTTCCTTTCTTGACTGTTCTTTCCAGATTCCCTATGCACGTCATTGCTGTGTGTCTCAGAGTCTGCTCTAGGGGTTCCCTGGCTCCTCTAGCTCTCTGAGCTCATCTCCCTGCCTTCCCCACAAGGCTGAGAGAGTTCAATAAATACATGTTGAGTTAATAAATTAAAGGGGTCAGTTCTAAGAAAAAAGATCAAATGTTCCAACAAGTAACTAATGAAGAAACTGAAACTAAGACAATCTCACTTTGTCTGAAAGTCAAGTTCCTGAGCACCTGTGTGCAAGACACCATGCTGTGTCTTTCTTTTCAAGAGCAAGGTAGTGATGCCAATCATACCAAGTGATCCTTAAGGCTCTAAGATCTTGCATAGGGACTTATGCTGCTCCTGAACCTCAGTTCTTCACAGGGTGGGTGAAAGGGTTAAAGAAGTATGTCCAATAAGTGCCCACCAGGGTGACCACTACACTGTAAGTGCAGACAGTATTTACTGATTCCAAGTGGTCTTAAGGATGGAAGATCCAGGTCCAGAAAAGGTACCTGAGCTGAGAAAACAGCCCTATACCTTCTGCTTCCACTTTAGAAGCTAGTGTTTTTGTGGGAGGAAAGCAATGTGGATACCCTCAGCCCAGTGTGAGCACATGTGAGGGCCTGACCAGGGAATGCTAGATGGGGAGGTTCCAAAAGGGGTTGCTAGGGTTGAGGCCTCTGTAGCCAGGGTCTATTGCAAGAAGCAGGAATAGTCTTCTGAGACCTGGCCTTTCTCTGAGTCAGGTATGCTATCTTTTTTCCCCCTACATCAGGGAAGTGTGTGAGGTTTTCCCTGGGGATCCAGTCTTTTCACCCAGACCTGCTGGTAACCTGTTCCTCTCCAGCTGCAAACCTCTCTTTAGCCAAAGCTCTTCTGTGTAAAGGTTGGAGGTTCAAGTCTACCCAGAGGTTCCTGGTGATCTACTTTGGGAAAATCAGCCATTGAAAGTCATATGGAGCACAGTTCTACTCTGACACACACAGTGAGTGTGGGCACCGAGTCAGAATTGATTCGATGGCAACTGATTTCCTTTTCCATTGGGGGCTAGATGTTCAAGGCAGGGGTTCTTGCAGGGCAGTGATACCCACAGGGCTGCTTTGGGAGGAGATACTCTCCCTGCTTCACACTGTAACACCTTGATTTAAGTCTTCTTTTAAGATGGGATTCTTCATGGCAGGTATCTTCTCTTTGCCCAGCAGCTAGCACACTCCCAGGTACTTAGGAAATAAATGTCTGCTGAGTAATGAATTTATTTCAACATTCAAACATACAAGCTGCCAACAGTTATCTGTATCTGACAGGAGCCTCACAGCCACTCTGAGCATCATTAGAAGCCCATCCTGTTTCACAAACAAGAAAACAGGCTTATTGCCCCAAGTGACCTACTCTAGGCCATACATTGGTGGCTCTCAGGGCCCCAGAATGACTGATGGGAAAGTAAAGGGTTGGGAGGATGGACCGGGACAATTGACAGTCAAGAATCCTAGTGGCACAGTGGTCAAAGCACTCACTTGTTAATTGAAAGGTCTGTGGTTTGAACCCACCAGTGTTCCTTGTGAGAAAGATGTGGTAGTCTACTTCTGTAAAGATTTAAAGTCTTGGAAACTTTATGGAACTGTACTATTGCCTTACAGGCTTGCTGTGAGTCAAAATTAACTAAATGGGAAAAGGTTTGTGTGTTTTTTGTTTTGTTTTAGTGTTCAGTCAGAAATTATTAGGTGTGAAGAAAGAACCAGTTTCCCCATTGAAGTTGTTCAGGATGGGATAGCAAGAATGACTCAGAAGAACAAAAGGCTGGTCCCTGAATGGCCGGCTCCTAGAGAGTGTAGGGAGTCCTGGTGTGGCGCTATGGGTTAATGAACCAGACTGCACAGTTGATTTGAACTGCAAGGTTGGTGGTTCAAGCTCACCAGTTGCTCCTTGGAAACTCTCTCGAGGGTCGCTATGGGTCGGAACCGACTCGATGGCACTTAACAACAACAAGAGAGTGTAGACTTGTTCTTCCGTTTGGTCCTGGCCCAGACACTACCAACTTTATTTTGCACCTGGGATCTCTCAGGGTACTTTGGTCTGTTTCAAGAAATGAGTATGCATAGACATCATCATTCTGATTCCTGGAGGTTGCTTATCCTCTAACAAAATCCCCTTGCCGTCTTGGCAGGTCCTTCATCCCAATATTTAGCCACTGTGTGTTTGTGCCTCCATTACTGGCCTGTGGGTTTTGGAGAGCAGGAAGCAGAAGGGCATCTGGAGTTCCCAATCTGCACATGCCGACTGGGGTAAAAGCCCCGGAAGGTTGAAGGACCCAGTTTAGGGAGCCCAGAGCTGATGCCGGCGCAGGGAAATGCCAAAAGTGGCCTTTCTACCAGGTGGGCTCACGGTTAACAAAAGAGTTACGGTAGAATACTCCGTTAGGGCAATAATTATGCACATTTAGTAAACTCTGGGTTTGGTTTTTGGTTTGGGAGGAATGGTAGTCACGTGGCCCTCGAGGGCGGCGCCCTCAGTTTGGAGATGGCATTAATCCTAAATCTAATCACAGAAGGCTTTCTGGAGGAGGCGGCATTTTTAAGGCGGTCGATTGTGATTTTCTCTCAACAGCGAGGATGTTTTTAGCGCTCTAGATCCAACTGGCTCACGAGGTGAGCTTCTTGCTGGGGAGCAAGGCAGGGTACAGCACGGTCGCGCCGGGCTAGGCTAAGAGCCTGGGGACTGGAGTCGAGAGGTCAGGTCCGGTTGGCGTTCTCCGACCAGACCTTTCACTGCCTTTGTGGATTGGACGTGCCCTAGGGCCTAAGGTGCTGGTGCAGGCCGCGATGTCCTGGACGCCTGATTGCGTAGAGGCCCTGGCCGAGGTTTAAGCCTACAGACTTTGGCGTAGCCAGTTCGGCGATCCGTCTCCCGGCGCAGTTTCGTCCTTGTCTCGACGCTGGCTCCGAAAGGGCGAGGCGCGCTCTCCCCGGGGAGCCAGCGGCCTGCGTGGGGCAGCGGTGGCACGAGAGGGCCATCTGCCTAGGCGCCGAGAACTGCAGCGTCCGCAGTGCGAGGCACGGTTTCCCTCGGCCCCCATCCTGCATCCTCTTCTCGCCTGCGCCCCGAGCCCTGGTGCCAGGCCCAAATCCAGACTAGGCGCGAGAGGCGGCGTAGGGGACTCGTGGACCCCTCCCCCAGGGCTCCCCTCGCCCCGCCCGAAAAGCGAGGACCCTTGGGCCCGGGGGTGGTGTGGGAGCTTCATTCCTGCGTGCCCGAGCTCGGGGCTTAGTTTGGCGGGGCGGGGACCGCACAGCGGCAGGCCGATGTGCGGGTGTATTGTCAGACTGCAGTCCAGAGCATTTGCGAGGGGTGGGCTCATAGTGGGGGTCGCGCGGCTACATCCTCCAAGCCGAGGGCGCGGCCCGGCGGGCACTGCCCGGGCGGGTAACCCGACCCCGCTCCCCGGAGCCGCTCACCCCGCACGGCCGGGCAGCGGGAGGGAGGGGAATAGGCGGGAGGGGGGAGGAAAGGGGCGGTGGGTGAGGGACTGTGGGGACCGCAGGGCCGAGTCCCTGGCCCGGCCCGCGCTGCTCTAGGGCGGCTGTCGGCGGCGCTGAGGACGAGCCAGTTCCTTGCTTCGCGGGCCTTGGGCCTGCGGCAGGAGGGAGCCCTGGGGTTGCACACGCTTGGCTCGGGTCTGCCTCCTCGAGCTGCTGCCTCCATTTTGTTTCCTGCTCAGCTTGGTCTGTGGTGGTGGTGTGGGTTTGGGGTGCGGCCAGGCAGGGGGTTCACCTGCGGCTGCTCCTGTTTGGGGCCTGAGGCTTCGAAGACCCCCAGCCCCAGCCCCCAGGTGAGCCCCGTGGAAGGAGGGGGGTTGCCTTGGCCTCGGGCCGAACCGAGCGAGCTGAGGGCAGGTGCCCAGTAGATGGGGAGCCCGGGCTGTAACCTAAGATGGAGGCCGGGGCTGACGCGGGCCCGAGCGGGGCTGTCGGACAGGCCTCAGCCGGGCCAGGTGTCGCCGGGGTGGGGACTCGAGATGGGTAGGGTGTAGGAGACTAGTACAGCCCGAGGCCAACATAGCGCCCCGAGGTAAGTGAGGGGTTCTTGAGTGTCACCCACGACGCCCGCAGGCCCTGACACTCAGGGGAGGCGCGCGAAGCCCCAGGGGAGCCCGCCTCAGGCCCCGCCCGGACATTCAGGCCGGCCCGTAGGCCCTGGACGCGAGCGGGCGCGCGGGGGGAGGGGAGGGGGCCGCTGCGGCGGCTCTGCTGATTGGGCGGCGCGCTCGCGAGCCCGACTTCACCCGCCCTGAACCCCGAAGAGTGTGGCTAGGGAGCGCGCTCGGTGGGGAAGGGGTGCGCGCGCACTCTAGGCCCAAGCCGCACGCGGGCCGGCGCGAGGCGCTCGATCGCACGCGCCTCGGCGGGGGCGCGCGCGGTGGGGGTGTGAGGAGGAGGAGGCGGCGGCGGAATAGGCCGGGGCAGGTCGCGCTCGCTGCCTTCTGCCCTGAAGACAGACGAGGGGGGAGGGGGGTGCGGCGAGCGGCTCCTCTCTTTCCCCACCGCACCGCTAGCGCCCCAGTGTAATGAGGGTCACCCCCTCCCCCCAGCCGGCCCGGGAGGGGGCGCGGGGCACGGTAACTAGTGCGCTGGGGTGGGCGGCGGGCAGGCGCGAGGAGGACGAGGGAGGCGGCGGCCGGGAGGGGAAGATGGTGGTGGCCGTGAGGTGAGGGGCGCGGGGGAGGTCCGGGCACTGCGCAGGGTTGGTGGTCCGGTGGCGCTGCAGCCGCGGGCCCCTTCATCACTAACAGCCGGGCTCAGGCCTAGTGAGCCCAGCCGCGGCGAACTTCCTCCCGGCGCGGCCCGTGCCCTGCCGGGCGACCGCGCGCGCACCTCGGCCTCCGCCTCCCCTCAAGGTAGTCAGCCGGCTAGGGGCGTGGGGCCGGCTGCCCTCCCGCAGCAAACTTTGCTTGCTGCTGAATATTAATGTGTGCGTTCGGCTCAGCCGGGAGGTGCTGGCGAGACCGAGGGAGGGAACGCAGCCCGGGCAGGCGGCGTCGGCGTCTGCAGCAGCCATGTTTGTCAAGCTGTAGCAGCTGCTGCTGTCCTGACTCGGCTTCGCCTGCTGCCTCTGTTTCTCCCTCTGCCGCGTCCCGGCCTCTGGTCCCTGGAGCTGTGGACCGAGCAGGCTAGCAGTCTGGAAGGCGAGATTCGGAGTCAGCCGCGTTGGCCGATTGGCCTACGGCCTGAACACGGCCGCTGCAAAGGCTCCGGCGCCGGCCGGGCTCTGGGTGCAGCGCTATTGTGACCGCTGCGCCCGAGCGAGCCAGGAAGGCTGGGGGAGGGGGGTACCTTTTTGTGCCGCGTCCGGGAGCCCCCCTCGGATCCCATAGCCTCCTCCCTTCCGGAGATTTGCCTGCTGAACTCAGGACGGGAGAGGGGGACGCCGACTCTTCCTGTTTGAGATTTGGAAATTTCAACAGCCAAAGGGATTTTAATTTTACTTAAGCCAAACTGCCCGCCAGTCTGCAGTGCAGAAAAAAGGGACGGTCTGTTTCCATGTGGCAGGATTTGATCTGCCCAGCTCCGGTAAGATGGAGTTTGCGGAGGCTCACCGAGGCCATTTTTCCATCGGCAGCCAGGGGAACTTTTTCCGCCCATGGAAGTGCAGCAGAAAGGCATCGAGGCCACTAGGCCTTGAGAAGTGGCTGCCATTTTGAATGGAAGAGCCAAATGGCCTGTTAACTCAGAATAATTGCTATTTTTTGGATTCCAGGTTGATGCCTGCCCAGGATGGATCAGACCTGTGAAATACCCAGAAGAAATTGTTTGCTGTCTTTTTCCAATCCAGTGAATTTAGATGCCCCAGAAGACAAGGATAGCCCTTTCGGTAATGGTCAATCCAATTTTTCTGAGCCACTTAATGGGTGTACTATGCAGTTACCGACTGCCAGTGGAACATCCCAAAATGCTTATGGACAAGATTCTCCATCTTGTTACATTCCACTGCGGAGACTACAGGATTTGGCCTCCATGATCAATGTAGAGTATTTAAATGGGTCTGCTGATGGATCAGAATCCTTTCAAGACCCTGAAAAAAGTGATTCAAGAGCTCAGTCGCCAGTTGTTTGCACTTCCTTGAGTCCTGGTGGTCCAACAGCACTTCCTATGAAACAGGAACCCTCTTGTAATAACTCCCCTGAACTCCAGGTAAAAGTAACAAAGACTATCAAGAATGGCTTTCTGCACTTTGAGAATTTTACTTGTGTGGACGATGCAGATGTAGATTCTGAAATGGACCCAGAACAGCCAGTCACAGAGGATGAGAGTATAGAGGAGATCTTTGAGGAAACTCAGACCAATGCCACCTGCAATTATGAGCCTAAATCAGAGAATGGTGTAAAAGTGGCCATGGGAAATGAACAAGACAGCACATCAGAGAGTAGACATGGTGCAGTCAAATCGCCATTCTTGCCATTAGCTCCTCAAACTGAAACACAGAAAAATAAGCAAAGAAATGAAGTGGACGGCAGCAATGAAAAAGCAGCCTTTCTCCCAGTCCCCCTTTCACTAGGAGATACAAACGTTACCATAGAAGAGCAATTAAACTCAATAAATTTATCTTTTCAGGATGATCCAGACTCCAGTACCAGTACATTAGGAAACATGCTAGAATTACCTGGAACTTCATCATCATCTACTTCACAGGAGTTGCCATTTGTAAGCAGTTTTTGGTACAACTTAAAATATATACATAAATGTATATATACAGGCAACTTAAAGAGAAACTTATAACTAATTGGTTTTTGGGTGTTTATCAGATCACAGCTGAAAGCAGTTTGGGGAAATTTTACTTTGATCTTTAAATCTATTTTATAAGTTTGGTTCTTTGCAGCTTTTCTCACACAACTCTCCCTTGAAGACTGGTTAAAGTGTTACAGAGTTCAGATTTAAATGTTCAAGATAGGGGTGGACATTTGTTTAACTTGAAAAAGTGGGCTCTGGCCTGCTAGTATCCTGAATGCAGTTGAATCAATTTACTTGTAGTCCTGTTCTGCATAAAGCATGGCTTAGGCTACTAGTTGTTGGAGTGACCGCTTGCTGAAGGTGGAAGTACATTCTGGGCACAAATTGAAAGTGGCTAAGATGAGAAATTAGGCTAATTTTTCTGAATGATTGGTGAAGGTACAACAACCTATGCTTTTGATAACTAGTACCATCAGAATTGGCTCTTGAACCTTTTCAGTTTTTTAAATTTGAAGTATGTATGTGTGATATGTGTGTGTATGTATGTGCATATATAGACATGGAGAAAATTTGGACTCTAGGTGATATTGTTAGAGGGTTGTAAATGATAACGTTATTTTTTAGTTTGAGCTTATGAAGAATTTCTTGACTCTACTTGGCAGCTTCTTTCAGTCTCAACTCTGAAACTACTTGATTGCTAAAAGATTCTTTTAAGTCTTAAGTGTTTGATTCTGATTTTGTTTCTGTCCAAACACATTTTCATGGTCGGTAGTAATGTCACGAAAGTTTTTTGTTTTGGCCAACAAATATTCTGAAATACAAAGTCATAGCTCTATCAGCAAGAAATTTTTATGGAGTGTGGCCATTGTTTTGTATATGAAATGTTCACTTTACCATTTAGACCTGTTCTTTAAAGGTAAAGAGGGAGAATGTGGGTGTGTTGCTTTTGTTTCTGTTGATTCATATCTTAAATATGTGTTACTGTTCCTTGGTTTCTTAGCTTGGTAGTTACAAATTTAAAATGTTTATTTTGGTGATTATTGAATTTGTATTGTCCTAGAAAGTTGGCAATCCTTATTAGGGAGGATAAAGTGTTTTGGAAATCTGTTGGCATACTTTACATGCATATAGTTTTGTTGTGTTCACATACTTTACATGCATATAGTTTTGTCTTTGTTTTCACTTAAAAACTTAGATCTGAGGATTGGAACATGTTTCTCTAGAAGCATACAAGTAGAAATATAAATTCTGTTTCTCATCAAAGAAATGGCATTAAAGTATTGGTTCTATTTTTAAAAAAAGTATCAGCATTTATGGACTATTACTCATTTAAGATGGGAGTTAGCAACCCTAAATGGAGAAAAACATTTTTCAGGGAAAAAATGTAAATTGCTCCAAGACTATGAGCTTAAAGAAACAAGTATCTTTAATTTATTCTGTTAGGTTTGTTCAAGATTATAGTTGAAATCTTGTTAGTTTTCCTTTTGGTATTGTTTAAGTGAGGACTTAAAAACTTGAAATTCATTTTAGTGGAACATGAATTTAGCTTAACAATATAGCTGGGAAAGGTATAATTAAAAATAATTCTATGTGTTGTATTAGGTCCCATAGATTTGGTTCTGACTCCTGTGGACCCTATGTGCAGCAGAATGAAACACTCATAATCGTTAATGTTTGAATTTATTGCTGCATACATCTCCTTGAGGGTCTTTCCCTTGAGGGTCTTCCTGTTTTTTGCTGACCCTCTATTTTACCAAGCGTGGTGTCCTTCTTCAGGGGAATGGTTCCTCCTGGTAACATGTCCAACGTAAGCAAGACAAAGTGATGACATCCTTGCTTCTAAGGAGTCACACATACTCAGACTTCACAGTTGATGCAGGTTCGTAAATTCATCAGGGCTGAAAATTTTAACAGGGTATTTAGTAAATGCTATTTGTCTTTAATAATGTTGTAATAGACTAAGACTCTCTTGGGGGTAAGAGTAGTTTTTAGAATTGTTAACTCTGTTTAGAATTAGAGAAAGTCAGATTAAAGAAATCAGAGAATCTGAGAAAGATTCAAGATTATAGTGACTGTTGTTTTGTTTATCTAGCTATTAGCAGACTGTTTGTTTCCTATTATGAATTAATAGCTTCTTCAGTTTACCTTCATGTGCTCTCTAATTATGTTCTCTGAGTAGTGATAGAAATACATTATTATTATAGTTTATAATCTTGAACTGGTGGTTTTTATATTTTAACTGGATTGACATCTAATTTCTCTCAGTGTATAAGGTCTTTGTGCTTTTTACATAGTAGATGCTTGATAAAGTCTTGAAGGCTGGTCCCCAGGGCCCCACATTTCAGACAGGCAGTAACTTAGTGTTTATTAAGTGCTTGGGTCTGGTTTGTATTGTCTCATGGGGTCTTTGTGGCCTTGTAGTAAGAAAATGTCAGAGTACCAGTTTTCATGGCACTTGAAGTTGTTGGAGACAAACTGGAAACCATGCTTATCTGAGTGCCATTGCTTTTTTTCTCTTTTTTTAAGTGATCACTGAAGGTCTTTGACATTATTTTTAGGGCCTGAAGTAACTCCTGATTTTCTCACTGGTCTTAATTGCAGCAGTATTCTGTTCTTTACTTTTCTGACTTAGATATTTTATGTGGAATTTATACTATGGTGATTCATAAATTTGTAGGTCCACAGAGTTCTTAGGAGAAGCCCATTTCAGGATGCTCTGACTAGTATGCCAGTTGTCTTTTACATAAACAACAAAAAAAGAGCACAAAAAATGAATTCACTTTTAAAAGGGACTAAAATTTCTCAAGTAAATGGGGGGAAAGATGTATCTGGATTATTTACTAGAAAAGGAAATTAAGAATTGTGAAAATAAGGCTTTCTTTAATCTCTCTAAAAATTTTGGTTTTGATGGCTGGTGTGGCATTGTGACAATGGACTGGACTGCAGTGTTGGTTTGAACCACAAGGTTGGCAGTTCAAGCTTA